TTTTTGAGGCGACGTATCTTACATAAAATTTTGACATTTCGGATTTCGCATCACGATATCTCCGTTCGTGGGACACGTAGAGAGGTAAAATAAACGTTTATTATATATTTCGGACCCAAACTGTCAATGGAGCTCATATTTAGAACTCGATCGGTCTAACCTTTATTAAAAAAACCGAGAATTTCGGATGCTCGGATGCCCGCAACTCGCTGATTCGCGTAAATAAAGACACGCGTGTCTCGCGCTGCGCGCCCACTTGGCGCGAGACACTACCGTGTCTGTTGATTTTATGAAAAGGCTCATTTTTGCTGTGTCTGTGAAAAGTAAAATCAACATCATTTTTTATAATTGTTGAGGCAAGGAATTTGATGATGCTAATTAAAATTACATTGGATTACAAATTATATGACGGAAATTAAGCGTATAAGAAATTAAATTCAAGGTTGAGAAAATATTACATGTTACGTCGTGTTATTCGTGAGATATAGGTTGCTAACAGTACATATATTGATGAGACAATGTGGCACATTATATATGTTTCTACATGATTAAAGAAACAAATCTTCAATTAAAAAACACGTTATCTAATTATTTTAAAGTGCTCAACGAACATTTCGGTTCATATCAGAAATTGTTTGATTTCAAAATTTTTAATTTAGCTATATTAAATATATGTACACTGAAAGAAAAGATTGGCTACTGCAGCAAATTATATGGTAAAATATGACATATAGCATTTTTAATTGACCGTAGCAGTCAATTTTTTGTTGCGTTAGCTGCAATGTCAATGCGGGATTTTGATAAGTTAACGAAACTAAAAATTGGTTGCTGCAACCAATTAAAAATTCTATGCCATATTCAGTCAATTTTTTCTTTCAGTGTATAATACTTTATGTTACAATATTTCTATTTTATAGTTTAGAAGTAATTGTGGTAAAAATGTAATACATTTTTATGAACACTAATGTATTGTTAAAATACAGCTAAAATGTTTTTCTCACTTATTGAACTTTTTTTTAAAAATTTGATAAATATGTTGCTACGAAGATTCATTATACGTTGCATCGTTATTGTTTTGTCCAAATACTATAATGTCTAAATAAGGAGATGTTGAAGCGTCGGCCGAGTTTGATCGATGTCGATAAAGCAAATTTTTTAATTTTCCGAAGTAAAACATTATGTACATTAAATAAAACATTATATACATTAAGTAAAACGTTATGTGCATTAAGTAAAATATTATGTGCATTAAGTAAAACATTAATTGTAGCGTTACGTACATTTTTTGTTCTGCTGTGCCCTATATATTGCAAGGTTACCTACACAGCACGAAGTCGATTGATAGGCGACTATCAGTCGGCAGAAGAAGTTTAAAGCCCGATCTACAATTGCGTAAACGTAGAAGTAAGGTTATGGGAGTAGTAGTAGCAGTAAATGTTGTACGACATATTAATCTACAATCGAGTAAAGATTCAACGAACTTTCAGCTCACAATACTTTCTCCGTCTTCCATATTCGTAATATAATATATTTGTAATATAATAAATTCGTCAAATAATATATCATAAAATAAATTCAGTAAAAGATGAAAAGCTCACTTTGCGCTTCTTTCCATACGCCGAGACAAAAAGGACAATAACAATGCAGACACATGACAGCACTGTGATTGGTTCACTCTTAGGTTTTACGCAGCCGTAGTCGTGAAATATAAAGTTGAATCATCTTTTACAACACGTTTTAGAACCGGGAATGGCAGGTTAGGTGTTGTAAAACTTTGCTTTACAACATTTCACAACCATTTACAACTACGTTTACGCAATTGTAGATCGGGCTTAAAATTGACTTTGAAGTTAGACTGATTGTCGACAAATGTCTTGACTACAATTGGTTATCAGTCAGTCAATGCAGTCAATACAAAGTCGACTTTATGGCGACTATAAGTAGACAATTGTAAAAAGCATTTCCTGATAAACAATTTTTTATATATGTACATAATTATTAGACTGCGGATATTTATGCAAAAACATATAACTGAATATTTTGCATAAAATGCATATTTTACATAAATGCATATTTACATAAATCGAATATAATAACTGCATAAATTGCATATTTGCATAAATTGCATATTTGCATAAATCGATTGTATTATTTGCATAAAATGCATATTTTCCATAAACTTACAATTCTATATAATTTTCAAGTAAGCATATAGTATGACTATATTATGATTATATGATGGAATACACAACTGATTCAAATTTTCGCATAAAAATCCGCAGTCTAATAATTATATGCTAAAATCTAAAATAAGTATCATTAGTTAGCATCATATTCCAGTCCAGCAAACAGCAAATTACATGTATAATGTACATGTTGGTTGTAATTTTCCACTCAACAATATACAATTGTAACATAACACTTGTATTATATTACAGTTATACACGTTGAATGGAAAATTAACTTGGTGTTTGCTGGGAGAATGCGGTAAAAAATTATAATAAAAAAATGTTTCCTTGTGAATTCGGGAATTAATTTCATAGTACTTTGAAACGATCCTAAGCTAAACTGTATCAAATCCAACGCTTCTTGATCTCTGCAATCGTATAGAAACTGTTTCTTCGATGATCGATGAACGCTGATTATTAACGCATGTTAGCTGCACCAACTGTGACATAGCTTTGACATATTTGATTAATACGTACACAGAGAAAATTTTATATTATATAAGTTTTAATATAATTTTAAATTACATTTTACTATGTCTCGTATTTTCGATGGACTCTCACAACATGATTCCGACTTAACTTTTACTATGGTAATACTAATTTTTATCACATAAATAAAGTAATTATTTTGTTAAACCATATTCTAACATGAAAACAGTTAATTTTTACTATGATACGCAAACAAAATTTGCTAAGTATATTTGATTTTGTAATAAAAAATTTTTACTATGAAAAAGTATAAAAATTACGTTATATTATTGTTTTTAAAAAAATAACTATAGCATTTAAACTCATAATTTACATGAAGACCGCAACTACTACCACATTATAGTAATTTTAAATATAAAATTTTCTATAAAATGTTCTCCATATAGGATGTAGTGATACATTTCGATACAAAAATCTCTGAATATCGTCTCAGAACTTCTCGTCTTATTTAAAATAACATTTCAGAGATTATCATATGTCATTTGTTTTTTTTATCTCGTCTCGTTTTGTCATGAAAAAAAATTTAAAAGAAATCCGTAAGTAATTTTAGCTTAAATTAAGACTTTTAATTAAAAAAATTTTATTTTTTTACACAAATACTCACATGTTTAAAATTTTGGTAAAAATGTAGATTAGGGGAGCCCCC